AGTTATGATAAGAAAGGTAAAAATACATGTGCATTTCTTTTGCTTTTTATAACTATAACTTGAGAGAAACTTAATCCCCAATTCATGTGAATATTTCAAATGGTAAGAAATTTTAGCCTCATTATTAGTGTTATTTTTCCAATAGCTTTTAATAGTCCTCTTTTTAGTCCTAAGAAAGAGCAATGATAGGTTTTAATAAGCTTTGTTAAGTCCATAGAGCATTTATTAAAATCAAATTTACAATAATAATTCACAGTTCACAAAAATGTCAAAAACATCTTTCATATTAAAATAATATTTTATTTTTGAATATATAAGATATTTAGATATTATACTACTACATCAGCCTTTACTTTAAAATACACTTTTTAATAGGCATTACCACAGTAACATCAAAGAAAGGGAAGAAGGAAATCAGCCCCATTTCTAATAAAATAAAAAAATATAATCAAGTTCTGGAAAAACAGGCAAACAGAGAAGAAACTGTAGATAATCAACAGGATGAAACAGGTTTATAATAAATTGTATATTAAGTTTTATTTAAGGATTAAGTACTTATTTTATCTTTTTAAAGCATTTGTGCTGTAAATTGAAAGCTAACGAGGGCCTATTATCAAATCCTATAATTTTAGTCTACAAATCTTTAATCAGGATTGTGGAGCTGACTTTTTGGTAGAGCTCAGCTCCGGACAAATTTTGGTCAGCTCCACTCAGTGCTCCCGCAAAGTTATTATTTTTTAATTTTAAGGTTTGCACAGAGTAATCTGCAAATAATAGGTAATCAGTAACATTAACTGCTTTCTAAAAAACAGTCTATATGATGCAAGTAAATTAATTATATTAGAAAATAGGATAATACTTATGGAATTTTTATCACATTAGCCCGAAATAAGAATATGCAAGACTCTATTAATCGTGCCTGTATTCACCCCCCATTCCAAAAGATCCCTCCCCTATTAAAAAAACATTACTTTTTACTAGAGGCCGACCGAAAGTGATTTTCTGATTTCGGCCGAAGCCGAAAATAAGCCGAAAGTTTAAAATGACTTTCGGCCGAAACCGAAAAAATGCCGAAAGTTTAAAAATGACTTTCGGCCGAAACCGAAAAAAGGCAGAAAGTTAAAAATGCATTTTGGCCGAAACCGAAGCCGAAAATGAAATATTAAGATATTTTGAAATTCGTTCCCGCATACATTCTGCATACATCGAAAATGATGTGGGAAAGTATAATTATTTACATTCTTTTTATAAAAAATGAAATAATCGTGACTCTTAATAAATAAACATCTAATAAAGGGGTCTCAAACTCGCGGCCCGCGAGCCATTTGTGACCTGCAAAAGGATATTTTGCGGCCCGCTACATGACAGAAAAGTTTAGTGTAAATGCGCCGGCCCATTTTCCCATTCTCATATCTATAACGTGACTCTCCGCGACGGTTTCAGTCGAATCTCACCGACTAGTCTAATTCTGATTTTTTAAAAAAATGTTTCGATATATTTTGGTATGCCAGGTCTCTGGCAACAGTGAGTAGTTCTTGAGAACCCTTAATGATTTTATTGCTATTTATAAAGGTTGAGCAGATTGTAACAGTTGTAATCCTTTTTTTGTGGATTACTTGATGCGGCCCACTCTCATTTAGACACTACCTCCTGTGCCTCCCCCCTTACCCCCCCCCCCCCCCCCCCCCCCTTTTTGTTTT